TTTCGATTTTTAACTAAAAATGTATGTCGGCTATTAATTAAGCATTAGAATAAAATGTGAATAAAAAGAAATGAAGTATGCCGGATGGTATACTCAAGACAGAATTTGTACTTGTGGGTTTATTTTAAGGTTAATAACCGTTAATGGAGCGGTTATGCAATATAGAGAATCAATTTGTAGAGTGCAACAATTAAAAAAAAATGTAAATTCATACCAATCCTTCATCAATCTGTAAATTGGACCTCTATATGCCTTTGTAAGAGTCCTATTGATCTCGAGCTTCCTAATGTTAGAACTAGAAACTCTGATAGACATCCATGGAATACACGTGAATTGTCAAGTATAAAAAACTCAAAAAATAAACTTTTTAGAAAATATAAAATAGATCAAATCAAATATTTATGCCCTTTTTACAAAGTCTACGTAGTTTAAAACCTATGTCCAGGCCTTGACGGTACACCCAGCATAATTCTAAAATATTGGTCAGATACATTAGCATTACCTCTAACGTTATTATTTAATTATTCCCTTAGATATGGTTATGTTCCTACTTGTTGGAAGAAGCCTTATATAATACCCTTACGCAAATCTGGTAGTCTAACAAATGTCTCGAATTATAGAGGAATTGCTAGATAAGGTGTTTTCCAAAATTGTTCGAAAAGTTAATTACTACTGTAATTTCACACAAAATTCAACCCTTGTTAAGTCCATATCAACATGGTTTCCGTAGTGATCTTTCAACTATTACTAATCTTATACACTTTACTTCTACTGTGATAAAGGGATTTGTTCAGCGTAAACAAACCGATACGATTTATACAGACTTTAGTAAAGCTTTTGATAGGGTTAACCATGAACTTTTACTTTATAAATTAAATCATATTGGCTTTAGTATAAATTTTGTAAATTGGATTTCATATTACTTACAAAATAGGACACAACTAGTTTTGTTTGAGGAATGTCTTTCAAAATCGATTAATGTTCCATCAGGTGTTCCGCAAGGAAGTCACCTAGGCCCGATTCTGTTTCTATTGTTTGTAAATGATTTGCCAAATTCTGTATCGCATTCCAAATTGCTAATGTATGCAGATGGTGACAAGTTGTTCATTACCCATCATTCTGAAAAGCAAGCTGATTTACTCCAGCATGATTTAAATAGCCTATTTCAATGGTGCAGCCTAAATTGAATGGACTAGAATTTAAATAAATGTAAACATATGTGTTTTTCTAAAAATTCTTCTTCGATAAGACATTACTATATTAATGGTTCGGTTTTATCAACTGTAGATTCTTCCGTTGATCTTGGTATTCTAATGGATCCAAAATTAAATTTTAACAATCATGTTATACCTATGGTAAATAAAGCCTATGGTGTCTTAGGATTTATAAAACGGTGGGCCAAATAATTCTCGGATCCATATATAACGAAACAACTATTTACGTCTCTTGTTAAGCCTATTTTAGAATATGGTTCTGTTATATGGGATCCCCAATATGCAATATATTCTAATAAAATCGAATCCGTGCAGAAACAATTTTTATTTTTGCACTGAGAGGATTACATTGGAATAGTAGGTTTGTGTTGCCATCTTATACCATAGACAGACGACAACCTTAATTTCCATTAAACATTTCTTAATTTGAATTAATATTTACCCCTGACAGACGAGAGTTTTTGCATTTACGAAACAGTTTTTTGCTTCAAAACAATTGTTTGTCTGTGTGTAGAATGAAAATTTTTTACATTTATTTCGATATTTTTCGGGATTACATCTTCAGGAAATATATACATGACATAAAGAGGGAATAGCAACTATGATCTTAGCAAAACAGCACCGAATTTAAAAAATGGTTGAAATTTGCCTTCATTTCTTATATTTATTTTCATAAATATAAAAAAAATTAGACAAGAAACAATTAATTTTCGACAGCAATGCCATATTGAAATTGCCTAATTCAGTATAAATTCAGTTTGATTTTGTGCATTAACAACACATAAAAACCAGTAAGGAAAGTAGTAAAGTCGGACGGGGCCGACTATATTATACCCTTCACCACTATGGGTATATTAAACAGGACTTTTAACATGAAATTGGATGAAATAAAATATGTGATATTTAACTAATTGTGAATCTACCTAGATCTATCCATAAAGTATGTAAATCGACTTCAAACAAATATAAATAGGTCATCCGTTGGGCTATGTCTGTACTTCTAGAAAACGCAATACGTAATTCTATGCTCAATTTTGTAAGTTGTGCAAAATTTGATGTCAATCTGACTACATGAGGAGTTTGATGCCCAATTTACTTGAAATCGGGCGAAAATATATATGGAAGCAATATCCAAATATTAAGCGATTTCAAACAAACATGTCACAGGTTAGGTTATAGTAATTTCAGAACGTTTTGTTCCTATTGGTTCCTTGGTGCGTCAATTACTTCAAATCAATCTATAATAAAAGGGAACTATATCTAAATCTGGACCGATTTTCACGAAACAATGCAGACATCACTCTAGGCTCAATTCAGTACGATATGCCAAATTTCGTGCAAATCGAAAGATATATAGCGACTTTGGTGCACCATTTACATGAAATCGGACGAAACTATATATGGGAGCTATATCTAAATCTTGACCGATTTTCACGAAACTTGGCAGACATCATTCTAGACTCAATTCAGTACGTTATGCCAAATTTCGTGCAAATCGAAAGATATATAGGGACTTTGGTCACCATTTACATGAAATCGGACGGAACTATATATGGGAGCTATATCTAAATCTGGACCGATTTTCTCGAAAATTGGCAGACATCACTCTAGGCTTAATTCAGTACGTTATGCCAAATTTCGTGCAAATCGAAAGATATGTTGGGACTTTGGGGCACCATTTACTGAAATCGGACGAAACTATATATGGGAGGTATATCTAAATATGAACCGATTTTCTCCAAACTTGGCAATTTTCGTGCAACTCGAAGGATATATAGGGTCTTTGGTGCACCACTTACATGAAATCGGACGAAAATTTCGTGCAAATCGAAAGATATGTTGGGACCGTTTACATTAAATCGGTTAAATATATATATGGGAGCTATATCTAAATCTAAACCGATTTTTCCCAATTTCAATAATGTTCGTCCTTGGGCCGAATAAGTGACCTATGCTAAATTTCATCCAATTCGGATCATAAATGCGACCTGTACTTTGTTTACAATTTAACATGCACAGACAGACGGACATGCATAAATCGACTCAGAAAGTGATTCTATGCATATTCTCAAGGAACCATGGGTCTATCTCGATTATTTTTGCCTGTTACAAACATATGCACAAAGACATAATACCCTGTACCACACTGTGGTGAAGGGTATAATGAGGATAATGTACAAGTTAATTTGAATTAAGGCTGTTAATGCAAATGTGAAACTATGTGTGCATATTTACAGGTTGGTGTTGATAACCACCTTGTCCAAGCAATTTCAAAGCAGCGGCCACTTTTATTGGAGTTGGAATTGCTGTGGATCCATTTGGAACGACGAGGTCATTTTTAATAGCGTTTATTAAAAACATAAACGCATCTTTATTGAGACGAACATTTGGTACACTCGTACCACATAAAAATATGTTTTTATTAACAATTTTTTGACGTTTCCTTTTGTCATTCTTTGTTATTGTTTACTTTGTGGTGCTAGTGTTGCCCTATTTTCGATTTATTTTGCGAATGCGTTTGCGTGAGCGATACAGAGTACCAAATTGCACTCTTAACGCATTTGGCTTTCGCATCGCACTGGCTTTCGCAACGCAATGCAGAGTAACCCCCCAGGTTAAAATTAATTCGTTTGCCTACATTGAAAAGTAGGCGTGTTATGGTGAATACTATGATGGTACTAAAAATATTAAATGGTAATATACCTTCGGATTTCCTAATTTCTTCTATTAGAATAAATGTTCCTGTCCGATCTAGTAGACACTATGCTTGAGCGTAGAACAAATAAAATCTAATATTATTGTAATTTTAAATGAGTACTAAAACTTAATAACAAACTGGCTGTTGAAGTAGATTCTGTAGCTGGTTTTTCTATTCCACTCTCAAATCCCATCATGATACGAATCATGGTGTGTACGCGATCCTTACGTAAGGGGAGGTCGCCCCTCGGTTGGCAGGGGTGGGAATGAGAGGCGTGGGAACGTCGAAAAAAGAAAAAAAAAATGGTATGAACGAAAATAAAGGGTAAGATGTCCGTACGTATCAAACGAAACCATACACCTACCATTTGCTCTGAATCTGTTGGTACTAAGTACGAAACAAAGCCACAAACTTCTTAAAGCAGAAGAGCGGAAGCAGTACGGTTGCATTAGTGTACATCGACTGTGCGATGATTAGTGGAAACGTTTGCTGGAGAGAAAAATAAAAACAACAATCATTTCACACGGTAAACGTTTGAGAACATTTTATTTCGCACCCACAACAACAACTGAAACGTTCATATGAATTGTTGTTGCAGCTAAGTATTTTTTTCGGTTTCGTTTTGTTTGCATTCATTAGCTCAAATGGTACGATACACAAAACGAAGTTCCTTTATAAGTGGATTCCTTTGTTTCGTTCTGTATAGTACAAAAATATTACAAACGTTTCTTTTCGTATTCTGATTGGGACATAGGAGACAACTATAAAAACTAAGAAGAAAAATCTAATATATATATATATATATACACACACACAATTTGTTCATAATAATAATAATGCCACTCCTTTATTACTTGAAATATAATTAAAATTTAAACATGGGCTAATGGATAACAATGTGTAAAGTGAACATGAATGAAGCGATTCTATTTGGATCACTGAATCATTAATTATAACAATAATTGCGACATAAAATGATCTACATACATATACAACTATGTAAAAAAACAATAAAAGAAAGGAATTTATGTGTTTTAAAACAATTTTGAATGATCCCAAAAGCACAACAATACAACCAAAATTATTCATTAAGATTTGCTATGCACTTCTGCCTGAGCTATTTTCATTACTTCTAAAGCACCTTTTTTGATTAATTCCTCGGCTAGTTCCTGTCCAAGTTTGTTACTTTTAACATATAACTGGCGGTCGTAGCAATCATGCTGATAGAGACCGCAGAATAGATTGTCGACATCTTCGATAACGATGTTGTCATTGGAATTAGGTTTCTCGTCTTCGTTATAGTCAAACATTTTAATAGTCTTTTGCAGGAACGGGCATTTCCCCACAGTATCCTCATAACTTCTTTTAGGAGCTTTGGCACTGACTGTTATATCACATTTGCTGTGCATTGCTGCAAATGGACATTTCGATGTAGAAGGAGTTGGAGCACAGTCTACTTTGTCGCCATTTTCACTTGTATTGTTATTACTGGCATTATTCTTTGTTATCGGGCATTTGCCAACAGCTGCTAAAGAAACTTTTGCAATATTTCCCACAAATGGACACTGTCCCATAACATCCTGGCCAATATCTATTGGTAGAGGACACGCCTTGGCCTTATCGGCGTCACCAGCGCCATCTCCCTCTAAATTGTTGTTGCCGTTTTCCGATTCCTTCTTATTATCACTTCCCACAAATGGGCATTTATTAGCTAAACTGATATGTTTCTCTACCAACTCATTGATGTTATATGAACCAGCGATTGCCTCTATTTCCGAATCGTCATTTATAACTGGAGGACTATTTTGACTCCTTAGCTCGGGGCTATTGCTTCCTTGGGCTCTCGAACGTTTCTGTGGCGGCTCATCATTACTATTTTCGTCAGGTACTGTTGGTTCAGCAAGGGAGCAAGCCATGTCTTCACGTATTTCGGTCGAACCATCAAGGCTCCATACAGCCCCATCCAAATGTAAGTTTATCGTGTTTGAACAGGTACCATCGTTATTCAAAGTTCCTTTTAAACTACTGTGCACAGCTACCGGAGCACTGCAACCACCACCAAGGGTCTTAAGAAAGCTGCGTTCGGCCAGAATACGACACGTCGTTGAAAGACACATGAGACTTCGAAGCATAGTCAAAATTTCAGTGTCATTGGCACGACATTCCACCGCTAACGCTCCTTGTCCAACGGCATACAGAAGATCGGTGGGCTCAAGTATTTGGCTGACACGATCATGCCATCCCATACGCACGAGACCAGCTTGAGCTAAAATTATGCCGGCAAACTTTGAATCAGCAGCATCTAATTTTGCCAAACGAGTATTTAAGTTGCCTCGTATGTCACAAACAACGAGATGTGGGTATTGTCTTCGTAACTGGGCAGTCCTTCGTAATGATGAAGTTCCTGAAAAAGAAGGTATTATTGATTAGGTTGTAATTCTAATGTCTAAATAAATGCTTTGCTTACCAATGACACTTCCTGGAGGCAATGTGGCTATTGTATGACCTTTATAGTCCTTGCGAAGCACTAGAGCATCTCTGGCATCTTCGCGTTCGAGAACAGCACCAATTGCCATGCCGGTTGGCAGAGCCGTTGGCAAGTCTTTTAGTGAATGGACAACAAAGTCCACACCACCATTCCGTAAGGCATCCTCAAGATCTCGTGTAAAAAGACTCTTTTCTCCGATTTTAGGCAGTGATATATTCAAAACCCTATCCCCTATTGTTGTCATTGTATCTGTAACAAAGAGAAAGAAATTTATTAAAAATTATTATATATATTATCTTTTTTATACATGTTAAAATAAGGTCGAAGTAGGTATAAAACAAGACGTATACACGGTCGAACAATAATTAATAATAGTTTGGTGCCAACGCATAGTTTCCAAACTATGAATAAGAACATACATTGTATTGTTTTGAAATGAAAAATCGTCTATCGACGATTTTAAAAGATTATCGTGCTCATTAGGTCCGTGTTTTTTAATTCTATGAATTACTTAAAATTTGTTCACTTCAAAAGATGAATACATTATTTCAAAGAATGTTACCCAAATATGTCTTGCGTATCAATATATAAAGGTGAACTTTTTTTTAACATTGTGCGTTCTGGTATTTGTGCGTTCTCGGTATTTTGTAACAATTTGCACAAAATGTTGTCTTTTTACACAAATGTTCATTAAATGAGTATGAATTGAGAGAGCTATTTTGAGTACTTATTACATCTTACTGGAAAAATTTGGATGAAATCAGCTTTTTAATTGATTGAAAAACGTTTACTTTTATGGAAACACAAATTTTTCAATGACTGAAATTCTATTTTCAAAAAACAAAAAATTCAAAATACGCATTGTCAATGTTGAAAATTTTCAACTTTATATTTTTATACGCAATGCGTATTTGGGTAACATTCATTAAAACACACGTATTTAACTTTTGAGGTGAATAAATTCGTACGCATACGCATAAATTTAGGTACGACCCTTAAAAATATATAAAAAATAAAAAATATAAGGTCGGACAGTAAACACATGTGAGTATAAAGTTTGCTGTCAAATCATATTTTGAAACCTATACATACGAAATTATATTAGACGTCAAAACGAAAATATTAATATTTTTCAAGATTCAATTCAAGTTTAATTTTTATTGTCTTTGTGAAGCACATTTGGACTATTTCAAGAGTTTAAAGCAGATTTTCAAGTAAATTATTCTACAAATTATAGATGTGTTGTGTTTTGGCAGTGTTTTTCATTTTAAGATGTGATTTAGATGTGTTAGTGACAACTTATTTTCTACAGCGATACAACAATTATATGGTATAATACATGCACACATCTAATTAAATACAAATTGATTCAAATTACCAAACGGACTTTGAGTGGTGATAACACAAACAAAAATATACTGTGTTAATATAGATTATACTTTTCTCTACAAATCTTCTAAAATATTCAATAAGAATTAACATATGAATTTTAATATGTGTACTAAGTGTGAGAAGATATATTCCAAGAATTTACACATTGATAACAACAAATTGGTTGTTATTTTCATGTCAACATCGTATGATTTTTGGTATGTAATAAAAAAATTGTTGTCTGTAATGCTTTTTATAATAATAACTACGTCACGTTTACAATTCTATTTTATTTATAGTGTTCCTTATTTTAATTACTTCTTTACGAGCAATTCTTATCTGGTTTTTATACTAACAAAAATGGTTTTTATCACCATAGTGTTCAAAATTCTTGCGATGAAAGTGAAATTTGGCGTGAATAATAATTTTTTTAGTTGTCAGTATTTCAACTGTTTATACACGCACACATAAATGTGAAAGGTATGCTTAATAGGAAAGCCTGTATTGTGTATTTAGTTGGTATTTGCATACATTTAGAAAATACGGAAGGGGTAGCAATCAATAACTATGAATTATTGCGTGAGCCTTGTCATTTTAATATAATCTCTTTTGACCAATTATAAGTTGTTGTTGTTGTTGTAGCAGCCCTATTGCTTTTACACAATGGGCTGAGGTGACAGACGTTGGCCGAGTAAGACTAATCTCGTAGACCCCTCTGTCGTGGAAACGACCAATTATAAGTAGTATTTGGAGCCGTTTTGTATGTCCATTTCATGTGACATCTATGGTTACATAATATACCATGAATTATGAAATTTGTTCTTTTTACCAAGGCCTCTATGAGGTCGGCCAGTGCGTGAATTCATTTCAAGCCTTATAACATTTTTTATTTTATAATTTTTGGTTTCTTATAAATTAGCCCATTTGAAATATTGAGAAATCGAAGCCAAAAATTTAAAAACTCATTTTTTTACTCAAGTTTAATGGGCATGTTCAAAGGTGCCCCACACATGGCATTTTACGGAAATTTAAAATAACTGTTTTTGTAATAAATATATATAAAAGAAATTACATTATTTATGTTTGAAATGATTGTTGGAATGCAAAAAAATAGTTTGACGAAAGAAAACTATCACAGAATTCTTCCTGCGCCCTTACCACCAAATGAATAAAAGCTTTACAATGACACTGAGAAAACATGGTCACCCATGCACAATTTTTCGACAACTGAAAAAGCAAGCCGAAGTGGTTTACGCATATAGAGAACAAGATTACCATATACAAAAATGTGGTTGCGGGTCGGAAAAATATTAAACCAAGATTTTATGAGCGCTGTTCAAAGGTGCCCCCCTCTCCCCTACCATATAAATTAAAATTGAATTGAATATTCACAAAATATTAATATTTTCGTTTTGACGTCTAACATAATTTTGTATGTATGTATAGGCAAGGTGTATGCATCAGATACAACAACAAATATTTCACGTTTCCACGACAGAGGGGTCTACGAACCGAAACGACCCGAGTCACCTCAGCCCATTGTGTAAAAGCAATAGGGCTGCTACAACAACAACAAATATTTCACAAAAACAACATTGTTGTTATAGAAATTAATTCTCATGCTGACAATAAATTTTTGACAAAAATAAACAAAAGCAACTATTAATTTATTTTTGTCAAGAACTATTCTTTGAAGAATAATTAACGAATTTTTGTATTCTTGGGTTATTGGCGGTTTTAGGTCAGTGAAAAATAAAGTTTAAGACCTGGTCGCGATTAATTTCAAGCCTCCCACATGTAGCCCATGGCTCGGTGTGATGTTTATATAGTGGATTACAATCTATTTTTTCTATGGAGTGGCTTCAAATCTTGCCTTCTTAAAGAAAATTGAAGGACATAAATCCCCGCCAAAGACTAAATAATGGAAATTGTTGACCGTATAAAATGTTTCCATAACCTCCGCCGAGAATTGTGACAAGGACCAAGGAACCGATTTTAATATAGGTTAACATAATATCCTCGATTTTATGAGTTGCCGGATTTCTGGACAGATTTCCACACATAACATAAAATATGTGGACCAATTGGCGAACGGGGTTATAACTGAACCTAGGTTTCCTTTCCGTCCGCCTCTATGAATTTAGTTGTCTTGAATTTTTATTATTAAAAAAACATAAATGTAAAGACCATTTTTGAAATCGAAATGTAATATTGAAAATGTTTTTTTGACAATTTGCTTTACAAACAATAAAGAAAAAAAGTTTGAAACCATATGATTGTCACTTACACCTTATTAAATACACCTTGTGTCATGGTATAATAATAAAAGGTAACAGCAAGTGTTGTTGTACAAAAAACGATACAACCACCACATGGAAATTTGTTGTTGTAAGTTCTACTAGTGTCAACTTATTTGACAGAAAAATGTAAACAAACAAACAAATTATCATCAAATTATTTTTATTTTGAAAATTGAATATTTTCGAATACTCAAAATAAAAATTGAAAAACATGAATGAAAATCTATCAAATTTATATTTCTATCGCTTCCACATCTTTCCTTTAATTGAGCCATTGCCATATATGTGTGTAACACATATGACAATGCTGGGAATAGCGAGTAATTCCTTCAAGAAAGATTTGCTTCCTCAAACTTTCCCAGCAGGCAGATTGAGTAAATTGAATACGGGAGCACATTAATAAAGAACAATTTCAAATTGTATGCGTTCCCAATTTTCCTGTTGGGTGATTTTTAAAAACATAATTTGTCAAATTTATATTGACACTAGTATTACGTTGGAATCAAATCAGCTGGGATTTGCTGTTACCTTTTATAATTGTACCATGACCTTGTGTATAGGTATCATAATATGATTTGACAGCAAACTTTATACTCAGCTGTGGTTACTGGCCGACCTTATATAGGCCTTGCATTTTACTTACGTATTTCAAATTTTTTATTGGGATAGAGTTTTTGTAAACGCGAGATGACATGTTTGGTTTGGATGAGGGCCAACTGAAAAAAAACGATACAATTTGATTATTAAAACATAAAATAAGTGATAAAATTTTATTAAATTTATGACTATTGTTGATGTAACAGGCCTACTCCAAAGAAAAAAAAACTGTCAACAATTTTAACATTTAGACCCGAACCTATGCGTTGCGTGCTAAAATCCCCAACTTCTCACCTTTATAGGGTTTTTACCCAAAAACGCAAGGACATTACTTAAATGTGTGTCAATTGAAAACGGCAGAAATGGATTTTTTTAATTAATGGAAAAATGTTTACATTTATAGAAACGCTAACTATTTTCAAAAAACAAAAAATATATTAGGTCAACCAGTAAGGCCAGCTGATGTCTAATTTGTTTTTGTCAAAATTGATTGAATTAAAAAAAATAAACAAAGTTTCCTACAAAAAATTTGTATCAAATGTGGTGCAGAAGCAATTATTTTTTAAAATAAAATCAGAGCTGTTTTTAAATTTTGTTGTGCGCGTTCAAAATGAGTCTAGTTTAAGACCGGGTCGTGGATCATTTTACCATAAATATTATTCGTGGCCTTGTAGTGCTATTCTGTAATTGATTAACGACAGAATTACCGACGATTGCCGATAACTTCAAATTTTCATTTGCTTATATATTCGGTAAGTTAACTACCAAAATAAAATAAATAGTCGTAAATTTAAGTTTTTATATGAAAACGATGTGTTTTAATTTTGCCGATATTTGTCGATAACATTGAAATTAGTTAAAGAATTGAACTACTGATTACAACGATATACATATGTATATTTCTTTTCTTGGGGAATCCATATTTCCGAACATATGGGCGGGCCTCCAAATTTTGCCTAGGCCATTGTATTTTCCCATGCTTTTTTAAAATTTTCAAGGTATCAATTTAACTCATCTCAGTTGACATATAATAATTTTATAGGTATTTATATAGGTAGGTAAACATTTTAAAAGCGACATCAACAATAACATAATAAATAGAAAGTTTACAAAATTTTCAACATTTTTTTTTTTTGCGAAGTGGCCTTGAACGAATTTTTATACAAATAAACTTTGTAATTGGGTTTTTAATTCATAATTAACGAGATTAATGTGATGATTGTTGAGATATTATTGAGGAAAATAAAATGAAGTATATTATTGATTGGATTTTTCAATATTATTGTATGAATTCCCAATATTTCTTAGTGGAATGCAATGCCAACCTGTTACTATTTTCATTCAGTCGGATTTCGGTTATTTTTTACACCATTCAAAGAAACATACACATACATGTGTACATATATGCAAAACAATTCAACAATGTCGTGATCTAAAATTTCAAAACCTTGACTAGATAGATATGCGTGTGACTTCTGAAGTCAGTAGACTGGTGAGGCAACCTGCAATTGTTAAAAGACAGTCTCTTGGATAAATCATACACCATGACATACAACAGATACTGAATTTTTGGTTACATTTGGGCTTTGATTGGTTGTATAACACAAGAGCACTCACAGCCAAGTGTGTGCTAAGAAACAGAAAAAGGTACCCAAGAAACTTAAAACGCACCGTAATGTCTGTGTGTATGCATACTTGAGGCACTTCCAAATTAATGAAGTCAATTCGAATAATGAATTGCAAATTGTTTTAACTTACCTCGCTCTTTCTAGAGCCAACTCGTATTGGTTTGTCGTCACCAGTCATGTCTGCTTCTGGTTGAAACTCCGGATGTTGCTTTCCAAGCGATATAGATATTTAGTGTTGTTTATGCAGCAGCGTGTTATTGGATTCCAATTGATAAGACGTGTCATTTATAGTAAAGAGGTAGGATGTTTCAAATTTGTGGCTTGTTCGAAATTTTTCCAACAGCACCAACCGAAAAAATACAGACAGAAACAAGACACCAACCGTACGAACCGACGAACGTGCTCCAACTAAATTGGAGTTCATAATCGGCCATAGACTAATCGTTCAACATTAAGTAGAAAAAAATCGATTTTTTAGTTCATATCGACTAATCGATTTTCGAAATTTGTGCATTAGGGTATAATGTTATGTTTACATCGCACCCATTTAAAATTTCTTTCGGCACTTGTCACAATTATTCCAGATATTCCATTGTTACTTTCTTAAACCACATTTACATACTACAGAAAATTCAGGATTTAGGGCTGTTGCGTCATTTATATCATAAAACCGCCGTATTTATGGGTCATTTACCATACAAAAATAAATGAATGATTCCAGCGTCATCCTATATAATCCTGCTGCTGTGCTAAAATGTACTAAAAATTGACAATTAAACCCACTGGATTAACGAAATCCAGTACAATGTAAACGTACTATCATGGTACAAATATACAAGTGGTCTGTTCCCGTACTGCAAGAATCTACTCGATTTTACTATTTTCTTCGATATCATAAAGAAAAATTCGTTATCGTAGTAAAAAGTAGTAGATTCTTGCAGTACGGGAACAGACCAAATGTAGGGTAATTTTTTGTCAGAAGGGAGAAAATACACCTCTACCTTATGCGCAATAACGGCAAAATAAATGAAAACAAATGCAACAAGCCGTTCTGTTCATTTGACATATTTTTAACATTTTACAAATGGCATGGCATAATTATAGAAGGTAGTCTCACTTAAGATTTAAATTCTATAAGATCATTTAAGATTTAAATTCGAATGGCATATTTTTTCAAAATTAAAAAAAAGGTTTACTTTCTTTAAATAAATATCTAAACTTTTTGATTAGATGCTACAACTTATATAGATGCTACAACTTATATTTATAGATTACAGGATGTTTTCAATTTTTTCATAAATTTGCATTTGACAATATTCAGCTTTCAAAATTTAAATGAAAATGCTTTCATTCGAAATGTACGCATACCATGTGTTCAGTGGCAAAAATTGCTAAATAATTTATATTTATAAATATTTTGAAGTTCCCTGCCTCTAAAACTTATAAATACAAGCTATGTAACACATAACCACAGTGACGCTCCAGAAACTTGGGGAGCTTGGTTGGGAATGCATCCGTCATACAGTCCAAGCGATTATCATCTTTTTCTTTCATTGCAAAATTTCTTTAATTATCAAAAATTGGTATTTAGTAGTACGTTTACATTGTACCGGATTTATTATTATTAGTTTTTGGGTTATCGTGCCCGCCATTCGCAAAACACTGCTTCGAGAAAAATGCGTTTAAAGTTTGAGAATCACTGTAACTTGATGCTGACACAATAAATCGGCTATATCTTCAAGAGTTCTTGAGATTTTCACTTGAAATTTTGTAGGGACATTCTAGAATTACAGTAGATTCGAATTAAATCAGAAAAATTTTTGACACCGAGAATGAGGGGGGGGGCCCTTAAATAAAGTCATATAGTTTATTTAAAAATAAAGGATTTCTTTTTCCCCAACCTAATATGTATAAAATGTTCGCGGTTTTTCTTATCGTGTTAACGCACGCAAAAAATTAAAATACAGCCAACGCCCGGTATAACGAATGATATATTGTCAGCCCCATTCGTTATAGCGAAAAATTCATTGTATCGCAAAGTTTTTTAAGGGGCAATTTTATTTAGAAACAAAAATGTTCTTCAACTTTTCATTTGATTTTTTATCAAAATAATTATTAATTAACGTAATAACAGTAATAATAACGTGTTTACATATTTTTTAAGGACTAGCCTAATATTTTATGCGCCATTCGTTGTACCCAGTATATAAATTTGTTAAACGTTCGTTATATTCGATTCGTCAGTGTAAAAATCGACTATTTTGCTCAATCGTTATATCCCGAATTCGTTAAGCTGAGTAATCGTTTTACCGTGCGTCGACTGTATATTTCAAGCGTTAAAGTTCATTTACATATACGTTTTAAATCGACTCGATTAACAAAATCCAGAAATACACCCTAATTGTTTACACATAACTTTAATCATGATCTAAATGCCGAACAAGCTGATTTTTGTTAATATACATACAAAATTATTAATTTGCGCCAAAAATATTTGTTTGCAGTATGAAAATGAAAAAAGAATTACGACAATGGAAATGTTTTTGCAATGCTGTGATCGTTTGGAAAGTAAAAGAAAACACCTAAAAACACAAAAATTCTATAAATAGCTTTTATTTTCCTTTGATCTTCCATTTTTGTATTTGACAACCGTTAAATTTAAAAACATACAACATGTGAAAACAGTTGCAAATTTTGGTCGTCGTGTTTCCCTTAATAAAAATAGAAAAAAATGGTACGTTAATAGACCAGTTATAAATACAAAAATTGTTTTGGAATAAAATCCAAATAACCGTTCATCCAAAATATTTTATCTGGCTTTTGGAACAGTCAATTTAGTTTGATTTTTTTGATCAACAAATTACCATGGCATAATTATACAAGGTAGTCTCATGCAGTCATATGTTTCCAATTTTTTCATGAATTTGCCTTTGACAGTATTCAGCTTTCAAAATTTAAATGAAAATATCTTCCTTCGAAATGTACGCATATCATGTGTTCAGTGGCAAAAATTGCTAAATAATTTATATATTTTGATGTTTCCTGCCTCTAAAAATTATAAATATAAGATGTAACAACCATGGTTAAATCTTGAGAGCAATGTTCAGCTTTATAAAATATAATTTGTTTCATTTATTAAAAATATGTCAATCGAAATACATAAAATTTTGATAGTCTTGATTTAGATTAGACGAGTTTACTTGCGGCAATTCTTGTCGTTCTCTTTTGAACTTGCTTCATGCGTTTATACAAGGCAATTCGGTTTCCAAAATATTTTTCTATTTGTTGGTTTTTCACATTTAAATGTATATAAAATGTCAACAAATACGAAATACACAAAACGAATTGCCAGAAAATTGTCGGTACGAGCAATTTTTTTTTTCATTTCTATTCCCTTTGCCCCTCTCTCCTACAAACAAAGACTTGCCGCAAGTAAACTCGCCTAATCTAAATCAAGACATATCAAGGTGTATTTAATACGGTGTAAGTGACAATCATATGGTTTGAAACTTTTTTCTTTATTGTTTGTAAAGTAAATTGCAAAAACATTTTAAATATTACATTTCGAATTCAAAAAATGCCCTTAAATTTAGTCTTTTTTCATAATAAAAATTCAAGAAATCTACATTCATGAGGCGGACGGAAAGGAAACCTAGGCTTAAATCACTTATAACCCCGTTCGTCGAATGGTCCACATATATTACGTTATGTGTGGAAATCTGTCCATAAATTCTTGTTATTCATAAAATGGAGGAGATTATGTTAGCCTATTGGAATCGGTCCATTGGTGCTTGTTACAATTCTCGGCGAAGGTTAAATACGCCTATGGAAAGATTTTATACCGTCAACACAATTTCCATGGTTTAGTCTTTGGCTAGAGATTTATGTCGCTCAATTTTCTTTAAGAAGGCAACAAAATTAAAAGACACTGCTCCATAGAAAATAGATTGTAATTCACAATATAAACAACATCACAAGGAGCCATAGGCTGCATGTGGAAAACTTAAAATTAATCGCGACCAGGTCTTAAACTTTATTTTTCACTGACCTAAAACCGCCAATAACCCAAGAATACACAAATTCATTAACTATTCCTCAAAGAATATTTGCCAAAAAAAATTAATAATTGTTATACCCTACACAACTATGTTGTCAGGGTATTATAGCTTTGTTCAGCCCCAAGAGTTTGTAACGCCGCGAAATATTGGTCCCAGACCCACCTTTAAGTATACCGATCATATCTCGACTAGCTGAGTCGATCTAGACATGTGTACTGATACACGTCCGTCCGTCTGCCCATTATAATTTGTAAACACGATACAGGCCACAGTTGTGGACCAATGTTCACGAAATTTTGCATGTAGGATGGGTTCTGTCCAATGAAGACCCCTATCGGTTAATATTTAGGGGATGAAATGGACCAAATACTTAATTTTTGTCTGATTTTCTGGTCGCTCTAGAGGCCGCGATTTTTTACAAGGAGAAGGGGATCGGGCCAAAGACCAAACATGCCTGTTTTTATAAAGATCGGTCAATATTTAGTCGGACCCTGACTTTTGTGTGAAAAATTACAAAATTTGTATTTTATAGCGTAGGGGAGAGGGGGGCACCTTTGAACACTTTTTGCTTTCAAGCCTTATAAAATTTTTTATTTTATCATTTTTGGTTTCTTATAAATTTTAACTAAAGTGGCCCACACACGTAAAACATGTGCGTTCGATCGGTGTGAATCCAAGTAATGTTTGACGTGTGTGGTACGGTATTCACACCGATTTGCCGGTGCGCACACCGATCGAAAGAAATTACAAATTTTTAATTTTTCGTCGTGCAACGCGCACATGTTTGACGTCTGTGGTCTGGTGTGTGGATATTTTCTCATTTGTTGCAAAATTTCGTGGAGTACGGATCGGCGGACAATGTCAAACATACACAAAAAAACGTTTTGGAAGATTTTTTGATGTTTTTTACACATATTCTAGTGTGTGGCAAATAAAAATATTTATCCCGGAATAAAATAAAAGTATTTAATAAATTTATATTAAATAAAAATATTTGGTATTTTTTCCGTCATCACTATCGCTGTCCATCTTAACGCTTAAAAAATAAATACGAAATGAAGTTTTGTGGATCCATTTGACGTGTGTGGGCTAGGAGCTTCACACCGATCGAACGCACATGTTT